CAAGAGACACTTGGCCGACGGACACATTTTGGCAAGAGACACTTGGCCGACGGACATATTTGGCCGACGGACTTTTCGCCGAGAGACATTTGGCAGAACGGACATTTCACCGAAAAGTAAAAATAGTAACAAGAAATACTTTTGCTATGTTAATTAAAAAATATTATAAGATAGAATAGAACTAATAATTACCACTGAATTTCATGTGATTAAATTACTAAATCTAAATTTAAGTTTTCTTATTTCAATATTTGTTTATTGAAATGAGTATTTTTTTTTAAATATTTGAGTTTATTTGGGTAAAAAGTATCACCTAATTATTTAAATTCCTGCTTAACAGTAAGATAAAAGCTAGTTCATCCCTTTAAGATAATGATCATTAAAAGCGAAATTGAAAGATCTTTCATATCGTAAAAGATTAAGATTTTTGCTGTAGTAAAATGTGCTTTTTCTCAAAATACTTATCATCTTACAGTAATATTTGAAGTAAAATATAATATATACAGAATAGATTTTTTTAAAAGCCCGCAAACAAAAAAAAAAATTTTAAATTAATGCAGTAAAGAAATATAAATATACGTAGCACATTATGATAAAGAGTGTGACATACATGTAAGTAGGCCACTACATTTTCGGTTAAATGTCCGAGTACCGAATATGTTTGAATGAATTCTTTCTGTCTAAATACACCATACACACATACACATGCATGCATGCATGCACACAAACATGTGGAACAAACATTACTCTTTCCCAATAAAAACAAAATATTATTCAGTATTTTGTATTTTCAATTTTTCGACTTCGAGCATTATTTCAACCAGGTCAGGAATTTTATTTTGAGCCAAACACATTTAAACAGAATAATGCAAGGTTATGGATTAACTAGTAGCATTGACTGGGATATTTAGATTGGCTCTCTTGGCAACCAACCTAGGAGAACGACATTGAATTCAAGTTCGTATGCTAATTTTAAAAAAAAACGCTGTAAAAGTTAAATCTCACTCATATTTTACAATAATATTCAAACTATACAAAGTCCAAGAGCAACTCAAGGTAGATGGATTGATTCGCTTTCTAAGACTTATCGGCCCCTTGTAGGTTATTTAAATCCAAAAAATATTTTTATTCTATAAGATTTTTTAGATAATAATGGTTTAGTGATACAAGTTTTACCCATAGCTGGAAGGAGACTAGGTGAAATTCGAACTCAAGCTCTCCAATTCCCAATTCCGATCCATTGCAACAGCCGCACATCCAAGCTTACAGCACCTGGTATTCTCAAGCGGTTACCTATCAAGGCATGTCATTGCTTAACTTCGGTGTTGTACGTGTTTCAACGTGATGTGGCCGTAAGCCCACTCATGGTAGAGGGCTACAGAATAGAAAATAAAAAGCACAGTTTATGAGGATAAGATATTTTTCAACCCTAAATTTGAACAGGTTAAGATTATAGTAATCTCTGAAACAATATTTTGGGAGTGGTTTCCACAAAGTTGCGGTTCCTAGAAAGAAGCTGTAAGTGGAACTTACATCTCATCAACGGATAATGAAGAGAATGGAGATGCTTTACTACAATCTGTGGCCTGTCGGGTCTTAGCCGTGAAGATTTGAATTGGTGAAGCTAAGGAATGCAGTTCATCTGAACACTTTCCATGGAAATAGCCATAGATTAGCGAGAGTCTTGCAAATATTTTACTGGATTTCAAAATGTATTTAAATTTATTGGAATAATTGTTTTCAATCGCTAAGAATGACAGTTTTTAATCATTTTTAGACACATTTACAAATCTATCTGCACAACGTTTGTACACACATCAAAACTTAAACATTCTTTATTAAATACTAGGCTTCATTGAACAGTAGTATACTTTTCCATTTAGGAATAATAAATATAGTTTTTACTTAATAAAAATATCACCGAACCGCTACAAATTAATATGTAATTTTAAAAGATTTAAAACTTTATAAAGTATTCTAATTAAAAGGAAAAAAATGAAAAGAGTTTTTGTAAAAATTCATCATTTATCGAAATGTTTCTTTCTTAATGCAATAGTGCCCAATAATATATGTTATTCATAAAAAGTAATTAAAAGCTATTCTAATTAAAGAATATCTTATTTTTATTGGATTTTTTATTTATTTTCGGATTCAGAACTGATTTTCTGTAACTGTGGATCCTCTTTTACAAAAAAATATTCATGGTTTAAATTTTCTATCACGTGTACTTATAAATCATATAAATACTGAGCCCTACAAATATGAATTTCTCAAAATATCATAAATTTAAATAAAACGGGGGGGGGGAATAACAATTATAAAAAATATATTTATATTAAGGTTTTTCAGAAACGAAATGTTTCTCAAACAATTCCATTCATTTATAAATGGAATTTTGTGAAGTCTTAAAAGTTTCATTTAAATTCTACGATTATTTCATTTTTGCAAGAATTTTCAAATCAATGTGTTTTGCGATGCAAAAAAAAAAGGCGCTAAAATTTCCGATAAAATTTATGTTCTGACGCAAGAAAAAAAATTCAACCAAAATTTTTAAGTGTCTAAAAAGCCTTAAAAATAAATTTAATAATAATAAAAAAAACCTTTGGTCTTTCCTCTTAATAATAAAATACATCTTTTGACAATAAAACTTTTTAAGTTCGTGTCATTTTTTCATCATGTATTCTCATTTCTTAGCGAATCTGTAATATATATATATATATATATATATATATATATATATATATATAATCATGGCTTGGCTTCGCGAAACGAAGATTAAGAGGGAGTATGTACACGTCGCTTGCAGCCACGTTTGTGACTTAAGTCCAATGCAGAACAGGCATACACAGTCGCAGTAGTTGCTGCAATATATATATATATATATATATATATATATATAATATTTTAAAAAAACTTAGAGTATCAGTTTGCCGTGATTTATTGTTCTTTTGATTAATATTAATCAAAATCAAATTGATCATTTGCGTTTTACCCCATTCCGAATTAAATCTGCATTCTTAAAAAAATCCCTAAGATGATATTTTAATACTCGGGTAATATCATGAGCAACTGTGTTTTTTAGAAAGCTTTTCTTTTAAAAATGGATTAAGCTTCAATTTAATAGTGCATATTTGTTTTATAATGGGATAATGAACGATACTTGAAACCGGATTTTAACAATTCATGGCAACAAATTTACAAGGAAACAAAAACAATAAATCTCATTAGATTTTTGGTTGTTCATATCTAAATAAATAAACGGCAAATCCTGTCTGTCCGTTCGTGTGTCTGAAACCCTTTCTAATACGGGCCATACTTGACGTACATAAACATATAACGTTTTGGAATCGGGAGGGAACTGTTAAAAATTCAAATTTTAATGTAACTGAAAAAAAAATTAAATTAAAAGTTTTTATTTTATATTGAGTTTAAAGAAAGACAAAACTTTGCGGGTTTAATTTTTTGTTTTAAATTCAGTTTAAAATATCTCCCAAACTTTTTGAATTGAGGAAATCAATTTTATCTCTTCAAAATACGAAGGAATAAGGGTTAAAAGGAAAAGTTTCGTGATGAGATATTTTGAAGTTCTACAGAGTTTGTGATTTGAAGAACTCAATTTTCAACCGGAATTGGAATTTCGGCCCAAATCGGACTTTTGGCCCAAATCGGTATTTGGCCGGAATTGGACTAATAGTCCGAATCAGAGTTTAAGTGAGCTTTTGATGTCCCATGGAAAGAATTCAGAAATTCAAAGTTATTCTTCAAAATTATCATTGCTGTTTTCTAAGCTGGCACAGAGGTCTCTTTAATTTTGAGTTGGAGGCCCTGCTCTGGAACTAGCCTAAAAATCTGCAAGGAGTGCGACATTTAAACTAGTTTCTTAATAAATTAAAATTGTTCCTTTAACTGCAAGAGAAGTAAAAAAAAAAGACGGCAAAAATTTCATTTATCGCAACAAAATAGGCATTTCTCTTTTTCAATGTTATTTTATTGATTTCTTAACAGACAAGAGGGTTAACGCACATAAAAAAATGTATCATAATAGCTGATAGATGTGCACGACTTGATGCGATCGTTAGCAAGCTTATCACACTTGATCAATTAAGACTGAATAGTGAGTTCGATCCTCACTGATGCTTTACGCTTTCGATCTCGTACCACATCTAAGCTACGTTTATAAAATCCTATAGTCACTTCGATGTGGCGTGATGGTTAACAAGCTTTTCGAGATCAATTACAACGGAATGGGTGCCTCATAATATTGGCCTTGTGCCACATCTAAGTTACGCTTGGAAAACCAACATAACATGTGATAGCTGTCATTTTATAAGCGTAGTACAGTTCTGGTTAAAGGTCACGATTATGGGATACTTGTTGAGGATCTAACAGCCTACCTAGTAAAAAGGATCCGTGGGATCCACTGACCAAATAGTAAACCACGTATAGACGGCTATGAATCACCACGAAAATTCTTAAGCACATTATCTTAAACTTCGATATTATTATACTGAGGCAAAAGTTGTCAGCTCTATATTTCAAATAATGTGATGGAAATCTTAAGTTTTTTTTTTAAATTCCTTTTGCTTTTGCAGTCAGTCAAGTGTAGTCAATTGTTTTCATGCCTGAGTAAAAAAAAAATAAATGGAGTTGAACATAAACTTATAAAAACAAATATCAGTCATCATTTAAAACTTGTTTTATGGAGAATTAATTTCATCAAGGAAAAAAATAAAAATAATTGCTTGGTTATTAGGCGCACACGAAGAGGGACTCTTAGTGGTAAAATAAACAGAATGAATTTATTTATATTAGATTTAATTGGAACGAAAATAAAGATACAAAAGCTTGCTCAAAATCTTCTAATAAGCTGAATAGAGAAAAAAAAATGTGTTTTGAAAGTGAGACTTACACAGATGATAAAGTTAAAAACGTCCTTGCTAAAATGGTACAAAGGGATTTCAAACCTTGTTATTAATCTTGTAACCTATCAGGAGTCGAAGTCATTCGTAGTAGTAATGAAGAATGCTAATGATTGAAGAATTGGTAATCGCATTGTGACGAAGGAAGGCTTGACCTGCATCTCTGCCAAAAGAACAAAATGGAAGTCCGGAGGTTACAACAGCCGAAACCTCAACAAAGAATGTAAAAAATAATAATTTGAACGAGCGTGGTGACATAAATATAAACAATATCATTGGCTATTGGAAATCAAAATTCATTCACACGTCACCAGGACGGATAGTTACAAGAATATCAATTAGTATATTCTCATTAGAGCGAAAAGTGCATAAAACCTTAAGTTTTTAATGCCATTTACGGTAACTGCTCGGATTGACGAATCGTAGAGACAAGTTCGATTTCCAGTCGAATTCATTGCATTCACTTATGTAGCAAAGGTATGAATCCATCCTTTCCCCCAGCTATGGATAAATAACAGGAGATACTGTACCCTATAGCCTTAGTTGGATGCCAGTCTAAGAGAAGTAAAATCTGGAATTCAAACTACATGCTGCCTTGTAGATCAACCTCTTTAACTTCTGAAAATAAGGATGAGTTGATCTCAACATCAGCGATGAAAAAGTAACCAGCAAGCCATTGAACTATTCTTCCTGGAATATCATCATGAAGCAAGATGGTGAGATGGAGAGGATTAGTGCTCACAGCGACGCTAACTGAATAAATGATGATGTGTTTTTATTCGCCCGGAGTTTTGGTTGGCCACACGTTGTTTCGGGGCTTTATTTTGACGATCTGTGTGCAGGCAACATTCTTTCAACTAGGTTCTGACATATACCAACATGAGGAAGTTTTGGCTATGGGTTCACCGTTGTTACCAATGATTATGAACGTATACATAGAATACTTCGAGAATTCAGAGTCGTACTTCTTTTAGACTGGCTGCTATTCAAGGTTAGAAAGTTCAGTCTAAAGTACTATTTATCCATAGCTTGGAGAACATAATCTACTACAGAAAAATCTATACTTACCTATGTTTGATTGGATTAAAAAATTCAACTATTTTTTTGTTATTTTTTATATGAACTGCTTGAACCCAAACAGATACTGCAATGTATCCTGAAAATTTGTTTTATGGTGAAATGCACAATTCACATGAAAGATGGTGGAACCTCACAAAAATATTTTTATAACTGAATAACGGTGCTATAAATTCATATGAGTAAATGATTTTGCCAAATATATGCTGGACATGTTTGCGTCAGCCGAATAAATAATAGTGTAATCGGCAAGCCGAGTTCAAATCACGAAAAAGAGTATGAAAAAAAGGACGTAAACTTAATAAAAAGAATTTTTTATTGTCAAAATGTTTATATTATTATTAAGAAGTGAGACCAAAGTATTTTTCTTATTATTTTATTCATTTTTTTCTAAACATTTCTAGCATTTTAAAAATTTTAGTTAAAAAATGTTGTTTTGCTTGCTTCAGCTTCACCAAAGATTAGTAGAAGAAATTTTAGCGTCTTTTTTGCGGTGATAAACATTTGGAAATTCTTGCAAAAATCATATAATTGCCGGATTCTTATGACATTTTCAGCACTTATTCACGAATGAATTAGATTATTTTGGAAATATTTCTTTTTAGAAAATCTTGGTAAAAATATATATATATTTTACATCTGTTACAATTCTAAAATTCTACCTTCTTCTTTATATTACTTAAAAGCAGGACTCCTTGGAGAATTTAGATCATCAATTCTTTTTTTTTCTTTTTTTTTTTTTTTCAAACAGAAATGCTATTTAACGAAAATCTGCTCTGAATCGTAATATAAAAAGACTTGGAACTGAGACATTAATTAATTAGAAAAACTTGTAATTGCTTTTATAAGTAAAATATATTAAGGACACTAATTTATTAAGAAAAATAATTTCGATGAATAATGAATTTTTACAAGAATAATTTATTAATAATTTATTATCTTTTAAAATACTGTATTAATTTCACCCTTTTAGATGATTATTAATTAAAAACTATATTTACTAATCATGAATGGAAAGCTTAGTACAAATCATTAAACATCGTTATTTTTTAAAAATAATTTTGAATCTTTTATTTGTATAGACATGCCAATTTTTTTTTATATACGAACAAACATACAAGGTATTATCAGAAAACAAAAGCAGTAACTATAATAAATTTACAGCAAAAATATTTAAAATTCAATAAAATTTTAGATTACGGAGAATATTTTAAAATTTCAAGATTACTGAGTACTTAAAAATTATATATAAAAGGGGCTCACGTTAATTTATTTATTTTTAACGGCTAAAGTTCTCATAAATATATTTGATGAATATCAATCTGTCATCAAGCTGTCAGACACGCAAACACTTTAAAAAAACAGCTACTGTCGGGTTAAAAAAATGAATTTCTGCGATATTTTAAACTTAAAGTAAATAGTAGTTGTTTGAAATTAGATTAATTATACTTTAAATCAAGTAATATTCCACAGTTTCAGAAAAGTACATATTATTTTTGAAAGATTTTTTAAAGAGTATTATATTGCAATAAACGCGGGCTAAGAATGATGTTAAATTTAATATCTTAATTTTAAATTAAAACTAAAATAAAAGCCTCAAGAAAGCCTTTTCATTCATAAACATTCCTTTTAAACATTAGGTATCGCGAATTAGCTGAGTTACTTATATATATATATATATATATATATATATATATATATATATATATATATGTGTGTGTGTGTGTGTGTGTGTGTGTGTGTGTGTGTGTGTGTGTGTGTGTGTATATATATAAATTAGGTAACTTCACTAATTCACTTACGTGTTAACACCCTTAGGAAAGGTATTAATCCTCTTCTTCTCCTTCCATTTATGGGTAAATAGCAGGACAGACTGAGTCCTATAGCCTTGGGTGGCTACGGGTTTAGGAGAAGGACAACTATGAATTCAAAACCTGCGGATGATCATTTATGTAACCTATGTATTCGGCCCATCAAAAAGTGCGGTTGATTCTGCACAAACCCTTTACCACGATAATCAAATCATATGTGCTGATGTCTGGGTGTCGGTTCCTAGGAACTGAACGACTTGACCCTCATGCGTCGATTACAGAGTCCAACACACACACACACACATATATATATATATATATATATATATATATATATATATATATATATGTATGTATGTATGATGTGTGTGTGTGTGTGTGTGTGTGAAACATTTATAGCAGAAACATTTTATAAACCGCTACATAAATGCTATCATCTTTCAGCATTATATGTACTTCTTCAGGCAATGGTGGTTTACAAATATTATTAAGCTCTGTTCTGTATTGAGCACTTTTTAAAATACATGTTTATACATTGGAATGAACCAACCTTACATATATATATATATATATATATATATATATATATATATATATATATATATAATTCATTAATTAGCTATTTCTCATTAATTAGCTAGAGCTAGCTAGCTAGCTAGCTAGATAGATAGATAGATAGATAGATAGATAATGTATTGTGATTGATAGATATATAGACAGACAGACATGTATTGATATATTGAAAGGTAGATCCACATGTATTGTGATAGATAGATATTGTGATAGTTATATTGATATATAGACAGACATGTATTGTGATAGATAGATAGATAGATAGATAGATAGATAGATAGATAGATAGATAGATAGATAGATATTGTGATAGTTATATTGATATATAGACAGACATGATAGATAGATAGATAGATAGATAGATAGATATTGTGATAGTTATATTGATATATAGACAGACATGTATTGTGATAGATAGATAGATAGATAGATAGATAGATAGATGTGATAGTTATATTGATATATAGACAGACATGTATTGTGATAGATAGATAGATAGATAGATAGATAGATAAATATTGTGATAGTTATATTGATATATAGACAGACATGTATTGTGATAGATAGATAGATAGATAGATAGATAGATAGATAGATAGATATTGTGATAGTTATATTGATATATAGACAGACATGTATTGTGATAGATAGATAGATAAATAGATAGATAGATATTGTGATAGTTATATTGATATATAGACAGACATGTATTGTGATAGATAGATAGATAGATAGATAGATATTGTGATAGTTATATTGATATATAGACAGACATGTATTGTGATAGATAAATAGATAGATAGATAGATAGATAGATAGATAAATATTGTGATAGTTATATTGATATATAGACAGACATGTATTGTGATAGATAGATAGATAGATAGATATTGTGATAGTTATATTGATATATAGACAAACATGTATTGTGATAGATAGATAGATAGATAGATAGATAGATAGATAGATAGATAGATAGATAGACAGACATGTATTGTGATAGATAGATAGATAGATAGATAGATAGATAGATAGATATGATATTAGACAGATAGATAGATAGATAGATAGATAGATAGATAGATAGATAGATAGATAGATACTAAGATGGCGTGAAATATTTTGCTCACATAAGGCCGAGGGACATAATCTTTCATTTTTACATCAAAGAGAATTACTTTATCAGCGAAATAGGAACAGCAACATTAAATTGTGAGTTTGAAGTCTCACTTTAAAAAGTATGCGATCTTTTGCAAACGCGTTATGCATATTAGACGAAATGTGATATTTTTTTATATTCTGGGCGGTGAAAAACTCGTTTGTCCTTTTCATATCCTGTAAAATACTGTCCTATAAAAACCATTATGATTCTATATACTTGTGTTGTACGCTGAATTTACAATGCAAGTTTCCCCCTTTTAAACCTCGTAAAAAGACATATTTTCTCATTTGATTGTTGTCTCCTTAAAAAGTGCTGAAACTCAAAAGGTATTTTATTGTTATTTTTATTTTTTATTTTATTGTATCTTAAATTTAATATATATATATATATATATATATATATATATATATATATATATATTTTATTATTTCTGAAGGATTTTTTGTGCAGAGAAGGGAAGGGAAAAAATAGTTTTTTTTCCCTCATATCTTAGCCCCCTGGGTAAAAAATATAGGCACGACCAGACGTCATTTGTTGCAGACGGAAATCTTAAAGCTTTGGATGTTCCTGAGGGAGCTAAGAAATTTCGACAGACATGCAGAATGGAATCATTTTTATGGCACCCAAGAAGAGCGAAACAAATGTAAGTCGGAAATACTGAACTCTTTCTTCATGGTTACTGCACTTGCGTAGGCTTAGTTGTTGTAAGTAAGCGAAATAAATTTAGAAAGAAAATAAAATGAAAAAAAAAAGATTTCTCGAGAGAGTATTGTTCAGTTCCGATATGACAAAAATTGACATTTGTCGAGACTTAAACTGTCTCTAACTCAAAATGTGAAAGCATAATTAAACTTTAAGCAAAAGTCTACCATTCGTCCTCGCTTTGATTATTAATGCCACATGTGGTCTGGTGTCCCTGCTATATATTTAGAGATTATTGATAAAATCCAAAGAAGTATCTGTAATGTTATTGATCCTGACCTGGCATCTCGGCTTCAGTCACTTTCCCACTGCTGTAATATATATCTTCTCTGTGTCTTTTCCATAAATACTTTCATGGTAATTTTTCTGATGTGTTTTCCTCTATGGTTTTCCTCCCCCACACGCAAATTGTACATATGAGAACTAGTTAGTATTACATAGAGACTCTGAGGTATTATGGTGCCTGTAGTAAGAACGGTAACTCAGAAAGTTTTTTTTTTTTTTTTTTTTGGGTGCAAGGAATATTGTGGTATGTTTAGGTCAGTAATTGTGGCTAGCTAAGTTGAAGATAAGACAGATTGAAAACAAGACTTTCCCGATCTCCCCATATTGCCTTTTGCCACATTTTTGTATTTTCAAAATAAATATTACTTTTTTCTATGGTACCTAAATTTCATGAATTTAAGCGCATTACTAGATTGGTAACTAGGTTTAATCATTTTACCGTTGAAATGGCTAGATGAACCGTAAGTTCTATTCTAACAGTTTCTTCTATCGCACTTCTCGCTTGTAGAACATTATTCCGCTTCCTTGCTTCCCAGTTAATTTTGATTTTCAAAAATTTAAATGCAATGTCAATAATTATCTTGTCTCCTTAATTATTGTTCTCTCTACTTAATAGCATATTTTTCTCATATTCCCTAACACTTAGTAATCCTTTGCGTCTTAGTGGTTTTATTGCCTTGAGGTGAAATCACTAAAAAAAATATCATATAGGCTTGTTCGGAAAATAATGTCGCACATGGAAATGCTATGAATTCCTGTTTAAATTTTACCAAATGTTTATTTAAAAATCCACTAAATTTATTTTAAAGTAGTATGTATAAGATTCAGGTGTATATATTTTATATTGTAAGAATTATATATATATATATATATATATATGATATTGGTTTAGTGATACAAGTCTTACTAATTAACCCATAGTAGGGAGGAGAAGAGGTGGATTCATACCTTTCGTAAGGGTATTTGTGCATAAGTGAATATGACAAACACAACAGGAATTGGAACTCGGCTCTCTGATTAACATTTTCGAGCCATTATACCACCCGCGCATTCAACACCCAGTATTCCAAACGGTCACCCATCCAGGTACTGTCTCGGCTTAACGTTGCTTAACTTTGGTGATCGTTCGGGAACCTATGTGAAAATAAAATAAGTGACATAAGTTCAATTTCACACTAAGACAGCTTTCCTTTTGAAAACTATAACCTGTGCCAAGGTTAAATGGCAAGAGGCTACGCTGGGTTAAATAACCAAGCAGATGTTTTTTTTTTGTTTTTTTTATGATATTAATTTAATACATTCTCCAAGATTATCGGTGTTTACATAGAGGGCTAGTAATTGAAATTAATTAATATCAGCCTAATTTAATCTTTTCTAGAACTAATCATAATTAAACAGATTGATTAATGTCCTATGTAGATGCCATTTTAACCACTCGATGAGGGCAAACGTTTTGAAGGCGCGGAGAATGTCCGACGGAAATAGAAACCCGGTTCGCAGTGTATAACGGACCGCGTTTTCGTTTCCTTCGTCCCAGGTAGAATGAGTCATTACATTTGCTGGCCCTATAGATGATGCCTCCCCGACTCTGTTAGAGTGAAGGTGATATTTAGAATTCGCCTTCGGAGAACTGCGTGTCAACTGCACGCCAGGAACGGGTCGCGACGACGGACCAGAGTGCAAGTGCGTCTGGTGTCAGCAGTGTCGATGCGTAGGTCGCGCCGAGGCGCCTGTGCCATTTTGATGTCAAGGGCGAAGACGTGTTCCCCGTCGGCGACGCGTGCTCAAAAGCAGAATTCGGAATCGTGGCGAGTATGAAAGCGGGTAGCCGAAATTTACTCTGGTATATATTTGTGTGACGTCCCATCGGCGTAATATCTCGGCAGCCCATCCCGTAAGTCACTGGTGACGCGGCTTTCATTGCAATTCATTAAATTTATTTTAAAATAGTATGTATGAATTTCAGCTGGATATCGAGTTGTCATTGCTGAAAACGGAATCGATTCAGTGATTGGATAGTTTTCTATGGCTTATCAACCAATTGCAGGTTATTTAAAGCCAAAAAATATTTCTAGATTGTAAGAGTTATTTTTTTTTATATGATATCGAATCACGATCTGAGTCAGTCCTAGAATAAATTTTGATTGGTTGATTTGTTTTTGTATTTTTTTACGGATTCTCAACACTTAGTAAGTTATTTAAAGTCGAAACATGTTTCGGATTGTAGGAAGTCGTTTACAGTACCCGATGTTCCGAAGCGGCTAATCATTTATGTCTTAATCATGCTCGACACGAATTAACTTCAGTGATCGAATGAGAACCGGTGTTTTCAGCGCGATTTGGTCGTAAATTAGAATAATGATGAACCAGCTAAATTCCATTTTCTTGAGAGATAATCTGATCTGCTGCTCCGAAATGATTCAAATATATGAGAACGAATACCGTTATACACACACACAACACACACACACACACACACACACACACACATCCATACATATGTGTGGTGGGGCGGCGTTAAAGATCAAATGCAGATCAAATATGTATCGGAATACGAAAAGATGATAATAAAATGAGGGACAAACAGGAAAACTTCGTGAGAGGTTGAGAGAAAACAGGCAAAAAACACTGCGATTTTTAATTACATTTGGGTCCGTTCTTATTGGTCAGCTGCGTGTCACGTGTCTTAAAACCGTAGATAATTCTATGTGTATGCAGGTTTTTGAAGATTCTTGTATCTCTAAGTGGGAATCGGATGGTAACGTTTATTTGTAATTGTGTATGTGTGTCTGTCTAGTGGGAGTTCCACTGTCTTTTCCTGTGTACGGTCAACCCGCAAAGCGGTGTCACAAGGTTCTAACTTATTGCTGATTTAAGAATGTATTCTTTGTATTAGATAGATATGTTCGATTCTTTAAGAATGGATTAAAAGAAATATAGTGATTTAATGTAATCTTTTAGGCGTGTGTTTTGGGTGTGTGTGTTTGCGTGTATGTGTGTGTGGGGGGGGTGATTAATGACTAGAAATTCAGAGATCTGAATCGAATTTAATGCCAATCGGGAACTTTGGATCTAGGAGGCGTTGATCTGTGGTGACCCCCAATATATATTGGGTAACACGCTGAGAGATATTGTAGTAAGCTTTGTAACCGGTGTCACATCAGAACATAAAATGAGCTGATTGCATTAGAGGATTGGCCTTAAATGTAGCTTCATAATCATCACGTGAGGAATTGTGCCTCGAAGGATTTTGGTGGCTTAAGCTTAAGATATACGAAAACAAGGCGCCAAGTTATAACCAGCCGACTTTTCGAGAGGATCAAACATTTGAAGAATGTTTCTGAGAACAATATACCCTCACGGCCGACGTTAATTTAAAGGATAATTTTATGTATGAAAGATTAACGACGTTATATATATATATATATATATATATATATATATATATATATATATATATGTGTGTGTGTGTGTGTGTGTGTGTGTGTAATTTGAACAATAAAAATATTAAAATTTAAAATTTTCAGTCACACTGGGCTGTATATTAACATTTTTCGTTTTATTATTTCAGTTATGTTCCTCGACTAGTTTCGGTCAGCATGGCCATCATCAGGTGAAAAAATCTGATTGTTAGTAGCAGAGAACTACTGGAGTAAATGACTGTCTCTGAAGAAAGTGAACTTTATCTATAGTTTTCATTGGTTTTTATAGTTAATTTTGCTCAGTCCACAAGTTGTTTTTAAGATAGAGGATGTGAGATTCCTGACATTCAGAATTTCTTCCTTGGTCATTTTGACAATTTTATTGGTTGCTGAGAATGGGGTGTGTGTGTGTTGAGTGTAATCTTTTAGTTGTTTTGGGAGTGTGTGTGATGCGTGCATGAGTATATATTTATGTGAATGTGTTTATAAGTGTGAGGCCTCAACACCTCTGAAAGCATGCCTGTCTTGTGTGGGTGAGAAATATAGGTAGGACTCAATACATTTATTAGAATTATTTATACGATTTTATTTACTTATTTATTTCCTTTTTTTCTATAAATCAATGGACTGCTTCGCTATCTTAACACTAGGTTATAAATATCAATATTTAAGTTTTACAAAGGACAGTTTGCAATCTGCACCTGACTATTCCATCAGAGTTGCGCTAAAGCTAGGAAAATATATATATATATATATATTTGAATAAACATTTATAGCAAAAACATGTTATAAACTGCTACATAAATGCTATCATCTTTCAGCATTATATGTACTTCTTCAGGCAGTGGTGGTTACAAATATTATTAAGCTCTGTTCTGTATTGAGATCTTTTTTAAAAATATAATGTTTATACATTGGAATTAACCAACCTTACACTTCCATTGGAATCGTAAATACGATCCAAATCATCAGACCTACAAATTCAAAATGAAAACAGAAAAAACAACTCCGGAAATCAAAACAGAATTTAGAGAAAGTGTAAGAATGAGGAGGAGGGAAATGAAACTTTAACAGAGAGAATTTTAGGAGATGTGGGGGTGGAATTAAAAAGAGGAGAGAAAGAAAGTCTAATGCATAAAGATACATTTCGTGGTGACATACACACACCATAGACAATTAGAAGTTAGGATAGGAGGTAGGGGGGAAAAAGAAAGAGAAGAGGTGGGGGAGAGAGATGGGACGAAGGAAAATAAGATTGTGTTTACTTAAAGGGCCACTTTGTAATTGAGAAAATTTGACAAATTAATATCGACTACAGGTTAGAAATCAAATATAAATATATGAAGATGAATATAACGATTGTCTAATCTAGCAAGGACCAAATATTTCTATGTTCAAAAACACATGCTAATACACACAATAACATATACAAGTAGGTACATACACTTAGGCATGTACTCACACACACACACACACACACACACACACACACACACATACGTGTACACACACATATATATACATATATAATTCGATGTTATTTCTCAATAATTAACAGTGTTCAATTGAAATATCTTCACTCGACAGAGAGAAACAAATATGTGTGTGTGTGTGTGTATGTGTGTGTGTATGTGTTTGTTTAATATATTCTCTAGAAAAAAATTAATTCGGTCGAGCACTGTGGGGAGAAAGCGCGAATTTGTAAACAGTGACTATTACTACTAATAATGCAAGACTCTCCCAATGGATTGAGTTCTCTAGGTTTTATGAAAAAAGAAATACGCAAAAATTTGCCTTTCTCTCTCTGCTGGGCGACGATAGCCAAGGGGTTAGGATCCCCGAAGTTAATATTACAGTTTATTTCAGGAAAAATCAGAAAGAAGTTCTAGCCTCATGGGATATTCAACTGCACTAATATTTTTTTTTACTTGTAACTGAGTGATTGTAGACTATGTAATGCACGTGACTTGATGACGTATTCAAAGGACATTTATCCTAATTACAGGGAGGATTGAATTGAAAGTCTATAAAAAAATCACGTAAGCAATATGTACACCTTGCAACACGTGTCTCTGATACCAACACGTAATGCTGATATAGCTTTTTATGTCACATGTCTTTCAATCTTAACTTCCCACGACTTAATACTATTTGTTGCTCTTAGCGGTATTCATCTTTTTACTGTCCCCACCCACCACATCTGTCATCCTTTACCCAGGATTGTTAGCTACATTACACGCCGTTCCTCACCTCTTACTTTCGATATATCATGTGGGGATCAAATTCTCCATCGTTATATAACCTAGACATTTCAACTTTTTCTTTGTCAGGGTGAACAGATATTCCTTCAGAGAGGTCCACTGCATTGAGCATCTATCGGGACTGAAATTCAACCGAGACCTCAAGTGGAACTCGTACATGCGATCCATCGCTAAAGATGCTGGAGAAATGGTCAGTTCTCAGTACCGATTCGGTAAGTATCTGACTCCCCCTGCTATTTACGAGGGCAAGATCCGGACAAAAATGGAATCCTGTTGCCATATATGAGCAGGAGCTACCCTGTCTAACTTTCTAGTCTCGGGTGGGTGGTAAAGATCAAATGCAGAACAAATATGTATCGGAATACGACAGGATGATAAAATGAAGGACAAACAGGAAAACTTCGTGAGAGATTGAGAGAAAACAGGCAAAAAACACTGAGATTTTCGATTACGTTTGGGTCCTTTCTCATTGGTTCAAAGACATTTATCCTAATTAGTTTCCGTGTCCTTGTGGGTGACATTATTTTCTGTTCTACAATCCGTTTCTCACAAACGAAACGTCACAAGCCTCTCACTGCTCTGTCGCTAGTTTCATGGAAAGTGTTCAGATGAACTAAATTTCTTCAATTTCACCGGTTCTAATCTTACCTAAGACCAGTCATGCAACACCCATTGTAACGAACTACCTTCATTCCCTTTGTATTCCATCAGTTCCATTCGAATATCTTCTTCCCTTGAGCCGCAGCTTTGTGGAACCAATTCCCAAGGGGACGCTTCCGGGAGCACTACAATATTAACGTGTCCAATTCTAGGCTTAACCTTTATCTCACTTACGTACAAACAGCGCATTTTACTCTCTAACCTTCTGGCTCTTGGGTTTTGAACGTCATTGTAAAAAAAAAAAAAGGTATGGCGTCTTGTTGACGATCGCTGTCAAATGTCAGAAAATTGTCCTTTGTTTTCAGCTAAATATAAAAATACTTGATTGATTCTATACCTCACGTCGTAAATAAATGTGAATTCGCAAAATGTAAAGTTAGTAAAACATCTCATCTTTTCCACGAACGTTCATTGGAACACCTGACTGCAGATAAAAATACATCAATTTACCAACTTTTGTCAAACAGCTATCAATGTAAATAACAATAGAATTTTAAGTGTTTCTCTGTCAACGACAAGGAGGA